TGAAAATAGGAGGAAGAAATATCAACAATCTGAGATATGCTGATGACGTGATACTAGCAGAGAACCTCACAGACCTGAAACAACTACTAAGGAAGATCAAAGAAGAAAATGCTAAGGCAGGAGGAATATAAAGAAAGCAAAATTAATGACCATGGAGAATCTACACAAATTTAACCTAGACAATGAGGAAATAGAAATAGTAAAATATTTTTCATACCTGTAGAAATGGGGACTGCAGTCAGGAAATCATAAGAAGACTAAGAATGGGAAGAGCAGCAACGAAAGAACTAGAAAGATTCTAAAATACAAAGATATACAACTAAACTCAAAAGTTAGAATCCTACAAGCCATCATATTCTCTATTACCATGTATGGATGTGAGAACTGGACAGTCAAGAAAGAAGATAGGAGGAAAATCAATGCATTTGAGATGTGGGGCTGGAGAAGAGTGCTGAGGAAATTGAGAACCAAAAGGACAAACAAGTGGGTCCTAGAGCAGATCAAGCTGGAAACTTCCCTGGAAGCCAAGATGACCAACCTGAGACTGTCATACTTCGGACACATCATGAGAAGAGAGGACTCACTGAAAATCACAATAATGCTGGGAAAAGTGGAGGGAAGTAGAAAGAGAAAGGCCACATGCTAGATGGATTGACTTTATTAAAGTGACCACGAATACGAGTTTGCAGGAGCTGGGCAGAGCAGTAGAGGACAGGGGGGCCTGGAGATATCTCATCTATAGGATTGCCTTGGGTCAAGATCTATGCAAAGGCAGTTAACAAAAAACAACAACTTAATAATAACTTCCATGTGATAATTATTACTTTATGATATCCCCTCGTACATTACTGTTCCTGATCTGTGCATATAGGCAAGCCCTCTTGATATTTTGGAGTACATATGTAGTTTCTTATAGAGAGTTCTTGTAGCACCTTTGAGACTAACTGAAAGATAGAAGTTGGCAGCATGAGCTTTCCTAAACTTCAGTCTACTTCCTCAGATGCTTT